GCGCTGCATGAGGCGGTGTGGGGACACTTTGGGGACAGTTTGGGGACATTTGGGGACACTTTGGGGACACTCTGACCCCTGTCCCCCCCAGGCAGTGTCCGTCAGACGGCGGTGACGCTGCACGAGGCGGTGTGGGGACACTTTGGGGACACTTTGGGGACACTCTGACCCTGTGTCCCCGCAGGCAGTGTCCGTCAGACGGCGGTGACGCTGCACGAGGCGGTGTGGGGACACTTTGGGGACAGTTTGGGGACACTCTGACCCCCTGTGCCCCCCAGGCAGTGTCCGTCAGACAGCAGTGACGCTGCACGAGGCGGTGTGGGGACACTTTGGGGACACTCTGCGCCTGGCCGTGCCCTCCCTCATCTACACCCTCCAGAACAACCTGCAGTACGTGGCCATCTCCAACCTGCCCGCCGCCACCTTCCAGGTGCCACACCGGGACACGGGGACACCTGGGGACAGCAGGGGACAGTGGGGGACACCTGGGGACAGCAGGGGACATGGGGGGACAGCAGGGGACATGGGGACAGCAGGGGACAGTGGGGGACACCTGGGGACAGCAGGGGACATGGGGGGACAGCAGGGGACATGGGGACAGCAGGGGACAGCTGGGGACATGAGGGACACCTGGGGACAGCGGGGGACACTGGGGGGACAGCGGGGACATGCAGGGGGACAACAGGGATTCCTGAGGGACATGGGGGACAGCAGGGGGACACAGGGGGGGACAGCAGGGGACCTGGGGGGACAGCAGGGGACATGGGGGACACAGGGGGGACAGCAGGGGACACAGGGACAGCAGGGGACATGGGGGGACACGGGGGGACAGCAGGGGACATGGGGGGACAGCAGGGGACACAAGGATGTGGGGTGACAGCAGGGGACACCTGGGGACAGCAGGGGACACCTGGGGACAGCAGGGGACACGGAGGGACAGCAGGGGACATGGGGGGACAGCAGGGGACATGGGGACACCTGGGGACAGCAGGGGACACGGGGACAGCAGGGGACATGGGGGGACAGCAGGGGACACGGGGACAGCAGGGGACATGGGGGGACAGCAGGGGACACGGGGTGACACCTGGGGACAGTGGGGGACACCTGGGGACAGCAGGGGACAAGGGGGACAGCAGGGGACATGGGAGGACACCTGGGGACAGCAGGGGACACAGGGGGACAGCAGGGGACATGGGAGGACATGGGGTGACAACAGGGGATTCCTGGGGACATGCGGGGACAGCAGGGGAGAGCAGGGGACATGTGGGGATGGGGGGACAACAGGGGACACCTGGGGATAACAGGGGACACTTGGGGGCATGGGGACACCTGGGGACAGCAGGGGACATGGGGGGACAGCAGGGGACAGCAGGGGATGGGGGGGACAGTGTGGGACAGCTGGGGATGTGGGGGGACAACGGGACAGCGGGGGGACAACAGGGGATGGGAGGGACAGTTTGGGACAACAGGGGACATGGGGGGACAACGAGGACAGGGGGGCACTTCAGGACACTGGAGGTGTCAGGGACATTGGGGACAGCGAGGACACGGGGACACGGGACAGTGGGGGGACAACAAGGACAGTGTCCCCATCCCTGTCTCTCTGTCCCCAGGTGACACACCAGCTGAAGACCCTGACCCTGTCCCCATTTCTGTCCCCATGTCACTGTCCCTGTACCTTTGTCCCCATTTCTGTCCCCATGTCACTGTCCCTGTGCCCTTGTCCCTGTCCCCATTTCTGTCCCCAGGTAATGCACCAGCTGAAGATCCTGACCCTGTCCCTGTGTCCCTGTGTCCCTGTCCCTGTCCCTAACCCTGTCCCTGTCTCTGTCCCCAGGTGACGTACCAGCTGAAGATCCTGACCCTGTTCCCTGTCCCTGTCCCTGTGTCCTGTCCCTGTGTCCCTGTCCCTGTCCCTGTCCCTAATCCTATTTCTCTGTCCCCAGGTGACGTACCAGCTGAAGATCCTGACCCTGTCCCTGTTCCCTGTCCCTGTCCCTAACCCTGTCTCTCTGTCCCCAGGTGACGTACCAGCTGAAGATCCTGACCCTGTCCCCGTGTCCCTGTCCCTAACCCTGTCCTCTCTCTCCTCAGGTGACGTACCAGCTGAAGATCCTGACCACAGCCCTGTTCTCGGTGCTGCTCCTGGGGACGTCCCTGTCCCGTCTCCAGTGGCTGTCCCTGAGTTCCTGTCTCTGTGTCCCTGTGTCCCTGTCCCTGTGTCCCTGTCCCCCTGTCCCTGTGTCCCTGTTCCCTGTCCCTGTCCCTAACCCTGTCCCTGTCTCTCTCTCTCCCCAGGTGACATACCAGCTGAAGATCCTGTCCCTGTTCCCTGTCCCTGTCCCTAACCCTGTCCCTGTCTCTGTCCCCAGGTGACGTACCAGCTGAAGATCCTGACTACGGCCCTGTTCTCGGTGCTGCTGCTGGGGACGTCGCTGTCCCTGTGTCCCTGTGTCCCTGTTCCCTGTCCCTGTGTCCCTAACCCTGTCTCTCTCTCCCCAGGTGACGTACCAGCTGAAGATCCTGACCATGGCGCTGTTCTCGGTGCTGCTCCTGGGGACATCCCTGTCCCTGTGTCCCTGTTCCCTGTCCCTGTCCCTAACCCTATTTCTCTCTTCCCAGGTGACGTACCAGCTGAAGATCCTGACCCTGTCCCTAACCCTGTCTCTCTGTGTCCCCAGGTGACGTACCAGCTGAAGATCCTGACCACAGCCCTGTTCTCAGTGCTGCTCCTGGGGACGTCGCTGTCCCGTCTCCAGTGGCTGTCCCTGAGTTCCTGTCCCTGTGTCCCTAACCCTGTCTCTCTCTCCCCAGGTGACGTACCAGCTGAAGATCCTGACCACAGCCCTGTTCTCGGTGCTGCTCCTGGGGACGTCCCTGTCCTTGTGTCCCTGTCCCTGTGTCCCTGTCCCTAACCCTATTTCTCTCTGTCCCCAGGTGACGTACCAGCTGAAGATCCTGACCACAGCGCTGTTCTCGGTGCTGCTCCTGGGGACGTCCCTGTCCCTGTGTCCCTGTCCCTGTGTCCTGTCCCTAACCCTGTCTCTCTCTCCCCAGGTGACGTACCAGCTGAAGATCCTGACCACAGCGCTGTTCTCGGTGCTGCTCCTGGGGACGTCGCTGTCCCGTCTCCAGTGGCTGTCCCTGGCCCTGCTCTTCGCGGGGGTGGCGCTGGTTCAGGCCGAGGGCGCCCGGGGCGGGGCGGGGGCCGCGCTGTCGCCGTCGGCGGCCCCCGAGGGTCCCCCCCAGAGCTACGCCGTGGGGCTGGCGGCCGTGGCCGCCTCGTGCCTGTCCTCGGGCTTCGCCGGCGTGTACTTCGAGCGGCTGCTGAAGCGCTCGGGGGGCTCCATCTGGGTGCGGAACGTGCAGCTGGGCGCCGTGGGCGCGGCCGTGGGGCTGGGGGCCATGCTGGCCGCCGAGGGCTCCTCCGTGGCCGCCCTGGGCTTCTTCTACGGCTACAACGGCGCCGTGTGGGCCGTGGTGGTGAACCAGGCGGCCGGGGGGCTGCTGGTGGCCGTGGTGGTGCGCTACGCCGACAACATCCTCAAGGGCTTCGCCACCGCCCTGTCCATCGTGGCCTCCACGGCCGCCTCGGCGCAGCTCTTCGGCTTCCGCCCCCGGGGGCCCTTCCTGGCCGGCACCGCCATGGTGCTGGTGGCCGTGTGCCTCTACGCCCGGCCCCGTGGCCACCCCCAGCGGGCACCCCCAGCACGGGCACCCCCAGCGTGGGCACCCCCAGCGTGGACACGGCGGGGACAAGTCAGTGGGCGCCTAGGGGCGGGCAGGGGGGGACGGGATGGGAGGAGGAGGAGGAGCTGGGGGGGACGCCCCACTCGGTGTGGGGGGGTTCCTCGGGCGGTGGGAGCTCGTTAAGGCTCGTTAAGGGGCTGGTGGAGGAGCTGGTGGAGGAGCTGGTGGGGCACAGACCCCACCCCGGGGCCCCCCGAGGCTCAGGGGGGTGTTGGGTGGTGGGGTCATGGTGGGTCCTCAGGGGGCACAGACCCCACCCTGGGGCCCCTCGAGGCTCGGGGAGGGGGTGTCGGGTGGTGGGGTCATGGTGGGTCCTCAGGGGGCACAGACCCCACCCCGGGGCCCCCCGAGGCTCGGGGAGGGGGTGTCGGTGGTGGGGACGTGGCAGGGCCTGCCAGGAGGTGATTGGGGTGCAGGTTTGGGGCTCAGGACTCATTAAAGCTCGTTAGGAGGTGATGGGGACTGTCAGGAGGTGATTGGGGTGCAGGTTTGGGGCTCAGGACTCATTAAAGCTCGTTAGGAGGTGATGGGGACTGTCAGGAGGTGATTGGGGTGCAGGTTTGGGGCTCAGGACTCATTAAAGCTCGTTAGGAGGTGATGGGGACTGTCAGAAGGTGATTGGGGTGCAGATCTGGGGCTCAGGACTCATTAAAGCTCGTTAGGAGGTGATGGGGACTGTCAGGAGGTGATTGGGGTGCAGGTTTGGGGGCTCATCAGGCAGAGGGACTCATTAAAGCTCGTTAGGAGGGGATGGGGCTCACTCAGTAATTGGGGTCCAGGTTTGGGGGCTCATCAGGCAGAGGGACTCATTAAAGCTCGTTAGGAGGGGATGGGGCTCCCTGGGGCTCACTCAGTAATTGGGGTCCAGGTTTGGGGGCTCAGCAGGCAGAGGGGACTCATTAAAGCTCGTTAGGAGGTGCTGGGGCTCACTCAGTAATTGGGGTCCAGGTTTGGGGGCTCATCAGGGAGAGGGGCCTTGTTAGGGCTCATTAGGATGTGGTGGAGGAGCTATTTGGGCTCATTAAGTGGTGGGGACTCATTAAGGCTCGTTAGGAGGTGATGAAGGACATGGGGGGGCTCAGGGGACGGGGTTTGGGGGGCCATGGGGTGGTGGGGACTCATTAGGGGTCTAAATTTTGGGGGTCATCAGGCAGTGGGACTCATTAAGGCTAATTAGGAGGTGGTGGGGCTCATTAAGGCTCATTAGGAGCTGGTGGGGTTTGTTAAGAGTCATTAATAGATGAAACACCAGGAGAACCTCATATTGGAGCTCATTAATGACCCTCATTAAGGCTCATTAGGAGGTGAGGAGGAGCTATTTGGTTCATTAAGTGGTGGGGACTCATTAAGGCTCTTTCAGAGATAATGAAGGACCTGAGGGTGCTCATTAATTAGTGGGTCCCAGGTTTTGGGGCTCATTAGGCCCAGGGGGCTCATTAAATGTTACATTAATTAGTGGGACCCAGGTTTGGGGGCTCATTAGTCTGTGGGGGCTCATTAAGGGTTGTTAATTAGTGGGACCCAGGTTTGGGGGCTCATTAGTCTGTGGGGGCTCATTAAGGGTTGTTGGGTGATTGGGGACCGTGGGATGGAGTTTAATGAGCTTAATGAGGTTAACGAGGTCCATGGGGTTAACTGGGCCAATGGGTTAATGAGCTCAGTGGGGTTAATGGGTTAATGAGTTAATGAGGTTAATGAGGTTAACGAGGTCCATGGGTTAACAGGGTTAATGGGTTAATGAGCTCAGTGGGGTTAATGGGTTAATGAGTTAATGAGGTTAATGAGGTTAACGAGGTCCATGGGTTAACAGGGTTAATGGGTTAATGAGCTCAGTGGGGTTAATGGGTTAATGAGTTAATGAGGTTAATGAGGTTAACGAGGTCCATGGGTTAACAGGGTTAATGGGTTAATGAGCTCAGTGGGGTTAATGGGTTAATGAGTTAATGAGGTTAATGAGGTTAACGAGGTCCATGGGTTAACAGGGTTAATGGGTTAATGAGCTCAGTGGGGTTAATGGGTTAATGAGGTCAATGGGGTTAATGAGGTTAATGGGACTAAGCAGGTCAATGGGTTAATGAGGTCAATGGAGTGAAGGAGTTTAATGAGGTTAATGAGACTAACAAGGTCAATGGGTTAATGAGGTCACTGAGGTTAACGAGGTTAACGAGGTCAATGGGATAATGACTTTGATGAGGTCAATGGGTTAATGAGGTCAGTGGGTTGGGGTTAATGAGGTTAATGAGGTGAATGGATTGGGGTTAATGAGTTGAGATTAATGAGATTAACGAGGTGAATGGATTGGGGTTAATGAGGTTGATGAGCC